TCTTTCTGTGCTTTTTAAACTAGCACCATTGGAACATCAGAGACTTAAATGCTGTTTTCAGGCTAGCATGTAGAAACATAGAAGTTTGTTGTGTGGGCTCATGGTATTGCTATCTGTTTCTGATGGCAAGGCCTGAAGTTCTTTCAATATTATACAGAAATTAGTCCTCAAAAGTTGCTGTTGCTGAAAGCATGTTCTCACATGCTAGTCTAGGACTAAGGTGTCTCCTCTAATGTACCTTCTCAGGACTTGACTCAGGTATTATCACAAGGGATCCAGCCTAGATTTTGAATAAATGTATCTACTGTAGTGTTAAAACAGCATCTAATACCCGTGTTGTGTAAACAACACAAATAGCAAACTATTCTATTAAATACATCATTTTCTGTAAGTTAAGGGTTGTTTTTCTTTCTCCTACTGAGCTTACTCTATTTGACTGTGAGTGACAAGAGAAGTGATAAGTATTTTGGTTTTGAGGTGTAATGTTGTTGTGATTCTAAACCTCAGAAATTGAAATACAACTGACTGGAGCTTCACTTGTATTTTATTATTTGGGCTCCAGAGAATGCAAGCTTTAATTGCAAAAAGTTGTTAAAAATAGACAGCTAGTGCTATTGTAGCCTTACCTGTTAGAAAGCGGTAGGCTTGGGAAATGCAGATAGCTCCAATCAAAAAGGATAGTTCAAATCAAAGACAATTATTTGGCAGAGTTTTAATTTGCTTGCACAATTATATCTGCTGTACTGTCTGAAGATATGAATAATCTTATCAGAAAAGATAGCCTTGGAAGTGCTGTGAGTATTCTCTCTGGTGTATAATTCTGTGCAGCAGTAACTTCACAGCTTTCAGATCTTGTATGTAACGTAACAGCTGCTGTTGGCTGTTAATTTTTTAAAATTTTGGTGTGTGTTTGTTTGTTTCAGTGGAGTTGGTTTTGTTTTTTAACAACTTTTACTTCTAGCTCCTGCCTGGAAATTCCACTTTCTGATGAGGCTGTGGCGTGAATCCTAAATCCTGCAGCGTGTTAGAAAATTGCGTACTGATTTCATCTCTCTGTAGCTGAGGATGTTCAGTACTTGTCAGGGTCAGTTCGTTCATTAAAATCTAGTATTGGTCAGTAGCTTACCAATCTTCATAGAGGGAAGTTTGTTCCTGCTCTAGCTCATAGTGTATTTATAAAAAGTTATTAAAGGGGCTTACCAAATGGACCTAATTGGAAAAAAGTGTGCTGTGAAGTGATGAAGAATTGCAGGATTTGGTACTGTATTTTTACATGTCCCCACCCATTCTGAAAAACTCTTATGCTCTTTGTTTTTTAGGTTGTTGAAGACTGGAAATTTATTGCTCAAGTGCTTGATCGAATGTTCTTATGGACTTTTCTTCTGGTTTCAATAATTGGATCACTGTTGTTATTTATTCCTGTTATTCATAAATGGGCAAGTATAATAGTACCTACACATATAGGCAGTACAAACGCATAAAATATTTTTGGACCTATCTCCTGCTAATATGTCTCTAAAGACTTGCAGTAGTTCTATTTCCACACATGTTCTTTGTAGGCATGTTTCTAATAGAGTAAAAAAAAAAATCCAAACCCAGACAATTACGTTTATGTTCAAGCATGGCTTCCCTAGGACACATAGAAGTCAATTTGCTTATTGCCAGTCTACTGAGTTACTTCTACATCAGGTCAGAATTAAAAGGACCTTCTCAAGTACCTGCATGTATGATATGTCAGAAAAGCATATGCTGACACCTACTGCGAAATAGAAGGATTTAAATTTTTTTAATTATGATCACTGTAGTCCAATTATTAAATTACTATATAAATTGTTATATTGAGTATTTAATATTTGCAGATATTTACACAGTAGAGTTGCTTGTTTCAATTTACTATAGTATGCAGAGGAGAATTTTTATCAGCTCTCTTGAATGCGTTGTAAAAGTATAAAGTTTCTACACAGTAAATTTAAAATAATAATAAAAATACCAGTTAAACTTCCTATATATTCAACATAAAAGTAAGTGTAGCGATTTGGCTAGTTTTGCCTTTATAAATTTTCAGTGGAGTTTGCTGCTAAATTTAAAACCTTATTAATTCTATCATACTAGCCTGAACATTTAATACAGTAAGCCTCAAAATGCCTACAGGATACACGTATTTCGATATCTCTGTGTCAGCTATGGAAAAGAAGGCAAAGACAATTAAATGAGTTCCCAAGTTGCACAAGTATTCTAATGGACCAGAACATTTGGATTTCTGTATTCTTGATGAAGAATTTAATACAGTATGTTAGTTGCAAACATGTTAATAATTTCCTGCCTTTGTGTGTTACTCAGAATTCAGTTTTTAAGCACAGGTAGAAGGAATTTGAGGAATGCCTTTCTCAAGGAAATGGGTTGAAAATTATTATGCTGATGATTTAATCATCAAATACAGATTACTAAATTTTCACAAATTTATGAAACCAAACTTTCATAGGTTCTCTCACTTACAGAGCCATTTGTAACTCTGAGCAGCGAGGACTTACAGCTTTTCATACTTCCTTTTTTCTGAGATTGTTGAAAACTAACTTGCAACTTTTTAATTAATCCATTAAAATGTTTTCTTTAAATACTGATTTTAAATTCTTTGCATTCATTCCAATGCCACCTTTCTCAAAAGCTTTATTTCAGGAAGAGACTCTAGAATAGATGGGGGTTTTCCTACACCAAAGTTTTGTCTGTGCTTCATAATATAGTTGCATCCTAAAGCAAGTCTTGGCAAATTTTTATTTGCTTAAATTACTACATTAATAACACTAAGTTCAGGTGAGAAGATTAATGTAAATTGTGGGGTCTTTGATAATGTAAGTTTTTATAGTGGTAATGAATTTGGAAAACAGATATCTCTCCCGCCCCTGTATCTGCTTTGGAATAGCACTGTTTGACATTGTACTGATTGTAATACTGGTTGCTTATGTCATAACTTATCTATAACTGAATATTTATTTCAAATTGTTTTCACCTGTTTTCAGTCTTGATTTTGTGTTGCTTTTTAAGGCTCACAGGCAGGGAAATGATGCCAGTCAAGCCTTTTTTGTTTTTTGTTTTAATACCAATTTATAAATAATTCTGATTGTAAAGGGAGTCACTCTTCCTCTTCAGTTACACAATTACATCTGGCATTGGATATCCATATTTCCTCTATTCCCATCATATTTCATATTTTAAAGGTGAATTTGCAAAGATTATCTGATATAATCCAATAATATTATAATCTTAAATTTCTTAGTATTGCCAAGATTCAACAATGCATCAGTGACTCTCTCTGTGTGGAAGTTGCAGAAATACTTTAGATACCTTATTTCTTCTTCAAATGCAAAATTTCTTTTTATAGTCCTCCTACAAATAGTTTGTATTACTGATGTTTACACTTACCTGAACAGAAAGCAAAGTAAATAAAACTGTAGGTTATCTATATATATATTTTTTTTTTTCCAACTCCCCACCCCATCTCTTTCCCCTTGTTGAATGACGGCCATAGTCTGCCCAATTATAAGGTGATTGGCAATGGATTGGCCAGTGGAGCCCCAGTCTACTAGCCCCAGTCTAGTAACTCACAATTTTTTCAAATGCATGAATTTCTTTTAGTCACTTCTATATTCCGATCATGATGAATACAGATAAGATAGCTGACACTAGAATCTTTGGGGTCTTCAGCTTATCACCAAGTGTCTGAAACAAAATAATTTTAATAGACTTAGAAGCGTGGAGCTTTACTTATGTAACTTGTTTCTGAATGTGTTGAACTGTAGCTAATGCTACCTTATATAGGTATTTGTCACTCAGTCAAAATAAATGGAAAAAAAAAAGTGCACCATTTTCAACAGCTTGATTCTCTTTATTTTCATAAATGTTACATCACTTGATGCACTGTATTTCCGAAATGTTTCCAGTTTGCTACAGAGAGAACAGTTCATGTTTTTACAAAATATCTTCTCATTACAGTGTTTTGTTGCATTCTTTATTCATGCTCTTAAATTATCTGCAGTTACTGAATAAAAAATAAAATAAAATGTATGCCTAAGAAGCAATTTTAGCATACTTTACAGACTATTTTATATCTACCTGCCTTCCCTTCTCATGAACCACTTGAGTATAGCAGGATGCTTCTGTATGCAAACTATCCTAGCAAAGTATTTTGATCCTTTGCATAACCTGCAGATTGCATCTTAGTGTGTGTTTTATTTGTACACAGTTTTACACATTAGTAGGTTTGAACAGCTTCTTTTTTCTGAGAGTCTTCTCATATATCGCAATAGGGGAACGGACAGAGTTTACATTATGGCTGCTTCATTACCATCATCTATTATTTACCTATTTGTTTTCCTTTCATAATAAACCTGCCCGTGGTCCTTTCCTCCCACTGTTTGAGTCAGTTGATACAGCAGGTGGCAATGTCTGCATTCTAGTGATTTCATATGAATGCTTCCTAAACCATTGCATCCTCTTAAAGGCACTCATTGAACTCAGTATGAACTTATTCCCAGAAGATCCTGTCATGGTCTGAAGAGACTGGGCACCAGACTTGTGGAAACAAATCTGATAGCCCAAAGTATTCAACCTGTCTTGACTGAATATTGATGTAATTTTCAGTTTGTCAGCTCTTACTTAAACCATTCCTATAAAGTTTAATGTACTACCTACATCTTTTCCAGTTATTGCAAAAAGTAGCTGTCAAGCATAGCTCATACTACTTTGAGATTAGTCGTCTTAAAGGTTCAAAATCTTTTCTTTCCACGTTTTCAGATCTTTAACAAAGCCATCTTGGTCAAGCAAAGTAGAGGTCAAAAAGAGATCCTTATTCTGCTCACATACAAAGCCATCTTGGTCAAGCAAAGTAGAGGTTAAAAGAGATCCTTATTCTGCTCACACGGAAGAGACATCAGGTGCTGGGGTGGGAGTGCAGACTTGGTTGGCAAAAGTTTTATTTGATTTCACAACATGGTATTTAATCTTTACATTTCATCTCCAGCCATCAAAGGTTGTAAAAACAATCCTGCTGTTCCTAGAATACATACCAGGATGAAAACCCATAGAAAAATACGATCGATTACCATGGCAACGTATTTCCAGTCATCCTGAATCTGAAAAATAAATTGAATAGCAAGTAGGCATGTTTCTCAGATGAATAATTTGCATTAGCAATTACTACCATTCTATATAGGAAGCACAGAAATTTTTTCCATGTGTAGATGTCTTTCATATATGTGCAATTTACATATCGCTGTTTTCATTCACAAAGGAATTAATCTTGAAGAAGCTTTATTCGAATATGTTATTTTTGGCAAAGCTGAAAGCTACAAAAAGTTATTCACCAAGACACTGGACTTCACAAGATACAACTTCTCTTCTGTATGTCAAAAACGAAAGTCAAAAGTTTTATGTTCTTAGGTTATCAGGTTTGTCCAGAAAACTTTACTGAAACAGACTGCTCATACTGGTCTTTAGACAGTATGCAAAAAGACAAAGGTTAATTGGTATATAATTATTTGGAACATTTCTTATGTAGTACTGGCATTTGATTGTTCTCATGCATGGTGTGAAATTCCTCTCCTTAGATGTAGAGAGGAAACCAAGTTTCCAAAAATCAGATTTTTCCGAAAGTTTTGGGGTTTTTTTGTTGTGGTTTTTTTTTTTTTTTACAGTGGACATAACAGTTTTGGGGTTTTTTTGTTTGTTTTTTTTTTTACAGTGGACATAACGAGAGTGACACTGAAGTGTTATATATGTTATACATTAACAGTAACTACATTAGGTGATCGTTTTAGTTACTCTTGAGATTACAGTTTAAAGTTTTACTTCATTTTTCTCCAGGAAGGCTAATAGATGAATAATGCTTTTGTTATTTTTGAAATTTTGCACTTTTTAGCTTAGAACTTTTTTGTTAAGGCAGACTTAAAAAAACCAAAACAATCCCGTATTTTCTGTATCAACTAATTCTAAGTGAAGTTCTGATTTCAGCATAAACAAAATAACCTCATTCTAACTTTAAGTGCTATACTGCAGAGGATTTAAATTAAATGATGACTGTGGTGGCGTGGCTATGGTTCTTAGTATGTTTTTGGAATGTGATTAAAAAGAAAAGTTTAATTTTTCTTTTCTATTGCATTGAGATGCAGTTTTGTGAAAGATGATGGTCCCTGTCTTGCAGCAGTTTTTTGATTTAGCTGCAGCACTCTACTCTCCAGCAGCTGCAGAACAAGCAGCATCATCACTGTGAGAGACATTCATTCTTACGTTCCTTATTATTGGTGGTAAGCTGTGGGAGGGAGAATGTAGCTTTCTAAAGGCCACGGAGTCAGCAAATTCCAATACTAAGATTATCACTTAAAAAATCCTCACTGAATCTTGTAGGATGGATACTCAGTTATGTTCCCCTAGCAGTGGTTAGCTTAAAATGCTTCACTCAGCGTGTCTGTTGTCAATAAAGAGAATGTTGTGCAACAGAGCTGCTCCCTAAGATTATCTGCATTCCAAATTGCACATATTTGTAATACAGCTTGGGCATTTTACTTGTATAAAACAGTGTCTGCAGTTTGAGTAACAGTAAAATATGTTCTTACCTCTTTTGCTTCATTCTGCATTTTCATATTTTCTGCAATGTATTTAACACTTTCAATAGCGTCTCTGATTTCTGGTGACAGAGCTGAAAATGAAAACAGAGGATCTACAGACTCAGAGCTTGAACTTCTTGTGAGATTGCCACTGAAATCCGAGAACTTCATTCGTTGATGCTGACAGCAGCTGCATGCCACATCTTGACATACAAAGCCATCCCTGCAGCATTTGGTTTCAGAACTGTTGAAGCAATTCAAGTTTGAAAACTCAGAAGTGAAAAAGGGTTTTGGCTTCTGATTATTCTCTTCATCACTGGCAGGCCTTGTCATAAACATGATCCTGGGAAGTAAGTTCAGGAAAATGGTTCTCACCCACACAGGCATTGTGTGTGTCTTGGGTGTTCTGTAGTGCACGTTAAGTACGAATACCGTAATGACGATAGACAGAGTTACAAAAATCATAGTGAAAAGGAGGTATTCCCCAATAAGTGGGATTACCAGGGAAGTAGAAGGTATGGTTTCTGTGATAACCAGAAGGAACACTGTTAAAGAGAGGAGGACTGATATGCAAAGTGTTACCTTCTCACCACAGTCTGAAGGCAAATAGAAAACTAATACAGTCAGAAAAGAAATCAGCAGGCATGGAATAATCATATTGATAGTGTAAAATAAAGGTAAACGCCTAATGTAAAGAGAATATGTGATGTCTGGATATATCTCTTCACAGCAGTTGTATTTGATGTCATGCTTATACCCAGGAGCTTTAATAATGGCCCATTCTCCACTCTCCCAGTAATCTTTCAGGTTCATTGTAGAGCCGATTAAAACTAAATCAATTTTGGCTTTATCATAAGACCAGGAACCAAACTTCATGGTGCAGTTCTGATAGTCAAAGGGGAAGTACGTTACATCTATTTTACATGAGCTTTTAAATATAGCCGGAGGTATCCAGGTCACATCACCCGTGTATTTTAATAGGGCCTTTGTCTTGTCATCAACCTGGAAATCCCCAACTGCACTGTAAAACAGATAAAAATAACAAAATTAGAATGCAACTAGTCCAGGTAGTTTCATAGATTCAGATCCTATACAATAACTCTTTAATCTGCTTTGGGAAAGTTAGCAATTCCACGTTGACATGGAACTGAATTGCATGTGTAGGACTGAGCAGCTGTCAAATTAGTGTCGTTAAACTGAAATAAACAGCTGTATTAATTTACTATGGAGGATTTGAAAGGAAATATTCTCCCTTAAAATAATATGACTTGGTGCAATCAATATTTGAAGCAGCAAATAGTAGATTGCAAATGACAGTCCGACTAGATAGTAGTTGGTTGTAGGTCCCTTCCAACTGAACTATTTTGTTCTATTCTGTTCTAGATCAAGCACATCAGAATCCAAGGGCTGGTGAGAGGATACCTGCACTACTGGTATTTCCACCTCTCCTGTGGACAGTGCAGGTAGTAACTATGGATAGAGGGATTAGGGTTGGGGTGCATTTTTGCATAGGAGTGTGTTTGGAGAAGGGTTTTTTAAGTCCCACATTGCTGTCCTGATCACATGGATCATACAAGATCTGTGTGACGATTACAGTTGTTTATATGAAAAGTAAAACTAAAAAGGTAACTTAAAGTGTTAAGGCCACAGTTAGAAAAGGAGTGTCATCACAGGTGTTTCATAGACCTAAGTTTTGGATCTGTGTAGCTAAGTCCATTTCACTGAGAACTACTTCCCGACATAGCGGAACGATGCATTTAGTTATAATTTAGCTCCTCACAGTCTCAGAAACTTACATCCAAATCAAACTTTACCTGTAGCTTTTATTTATCAGCACTATCATTGTAAAGGTGTCAAATTGTGAGTTTAAATGCTAAAAAGCTAGAATTTGCAGGTTTTTTCAGTTAAAGATCTGACTCAGACAAGAATTCTCCAGTATAAGGGAATTCTTGCCACCTCTCTTGTAGACAGTGATAAAAATAGTAGTAAAAGAGGGGGCTTGTGAAGGGAAAAGCAAAGTTCCCTTTGGCCTGCCCACTTGCAGCTGCAGGTCAGGAGCTGGCTCCTGCCCGGTGGTACGGATGTAGATGCCATGGAGGTGGTACAGCAATAGGGGCAGGTGTGTTGAAAAAGGCTTTTCCAGTCAATTCAGTGAAACTGCTGCTGATTTTTTTTTTTTAAACTAGTTACATCACCCCCCTTCTTCCTGAATTAAGATAAATATGCAAGAGTCTCACTTGTTATATAAAACAATATCTGGCTTCCAGATCTGGCCAGATGGTACTCGGATGAATTCAGCACCTCCATAGTCTGCAGGATTCCACCGAAGCTTGTAATCATTCCAGATCTAATTACAGAAGAAATGGGTCTATGTTAGGTTTGTGCAGAAATCAAAATTCAGTGGACTAGACTCAAACCAACTGCTGTCATATCACTTCTAGGGTTGTCTTATTTTGGATACTACAATGATTCGATTTTTCTTTAACAAACACGTATGTTTGGTGTTTATTCACGTGGAGGTTAGTCTAGATATGACTTAGCCATGTGTGACTCCATGTCCCAGGAATGTCTACTCAGTAGTTGAAACAAGGTGAAAGAGGGAATAAGATACTGTCTTGCCAGAGAGTGTAGGACTTAAACAATAACTTGGGTCTCAAAAAGCCAGGTATCTGTGAGATGAGGAACGCAAATTGATCAGAGGCTCTGGTGCCAGGTGTGAGCGAAGGAGCCAGGGCAGGTGGGTTAGAACGAGCTGCAGGGTGTCACTGCTCCGTTAAACGAGCCTTGTTCATCAGGGCTCATGAAACCCCAGTTTAACAAAGTTGAATATTAAGCTGAAGCCGGGAATTAAGTTGGCTGTTAAGCTGACTGCAACAGTGAGTAATTGCGTTTTTAACCCATAAAGCTCCTTTTAATTGAAGTCAGCATTTTTGGCTCGTTTTCGCTTCCCAGGAGCCAACCAGCAGCAAGCGATGCTGTGTGGGACCTCCGTGCTGAGGTGCTTCCTCTGTGCGTCGGTGTCTGCCAAGGCAGCGTGTTGGGGAGTCTCCCTAGCAAAAACTGGAGTATTTAGCAGTATATCAGGCCTAGCAGGGTTACAACTGCAGCCGACGGCTCGTAACCGAGTCTGACAGCTGCATCCCGAGCCAGGCCGGTATTTAAATGCCGCAGCACTGACGGACCGTGAGACGGGAAGGTGCCGGGGCCGGTGGCGACGAAGCCGTTCCGGCCGGTCAGTTATCG